AGGAGGCACCGGGGAGCCCCGCACAGCCGGACCCGCCGCTCCCTCCCCGTGCCCCGCGATCTCTCACCGTGTCCGTCCCGCAGCACCCGGGGCCGCTAYGGGGAGGGAGCGAAGCAGGAGAAGTTCAAGTACGCGCTGACCCTCGTGTTCATCCAGTGCGTGATCAACGCCGCCTTCGCCAAGCTCCGTGAGTGCGGGATCCCGGGATCACCGGGGGTGGCGGGGGCCGGGCCGGGGCCGCTGCTGAGCTGTCGTTTCTGTCCCCGCAGTGATCCGGTTCATGGACGCGGCGCGGCCGGACCGCACACGGGGGTGGCTCTACGGGGCGTGCTCGCTGTCCTACCTGGGCGCCATGGTGTCCAGCAACTCCGCCCTGCAGTTCGTCAGCTACCCCACACAGGTGGGTATGGGACAGCGGGACAGCCGGGGGGGACATGGGGACACCGGCTGGGACCCTGACACTGATCCTGGGGGTGACCCTGGGGGTGACACTGACCATGACCCTGGGTCTGATCCTGACACTGATCCTGGGGGTGACCCTGGGGGTGATCCTGACACTGACCCTGGGGTGACCATGGCCATGACCCTGCGGGTGACCCTGGGTGTGATCCGGACACTGATCCTGGGGGTGACCCTGGGGTGATCCTGTCCGTGACCATGGGGGTGATCCTGACACAGACCCTGGGTGTGACCCTGGCCATGACCATGACCCCAGCTGTGACCTTGACCCTGGGGGTGACCTTGACCATTACTCTGGATCTGACTCTGACCCTGACCCTGGGTGTTATCCTGACACTGACCCTGGGTGTGGCACTGACCATGACCCTGCGTGTGATCCTGACCATGTCCATGACCCCAGCTGTGACTCTGGTCCTGGGTGTGACCTTGGGTCTGACCTTGACCCTGGGTGTAATCCTGACCCTGGCTTTGGCTGTCACCCTGACCCTGGGTTTGACCCTGATCCTGGTCTAACCCTGACCATGACCCTGGTCTGAGCCTGATCCTGGGTGTGATCCTGGCCATGACCCCGGCTATGACCCTGGCCCTGGGTCTGACCCTGACCCTGGGTGTGGCACTGACCGTGACCCTGGCTGTGGTCCTGGCCATGACCATGACCTCAGCTGTGACTCTGGTCCTCGGTGTGACCCTGGGTGTGACCCTGACCCTGGTCTAACCCTGACCATGACCCTGGTCTGAGCCTGTCCCTGGGTGTGACCCTGACACTGACCCTCACCCTGGGTCTGACTTTCAGCCGGTTCTGACCCTGACCCTGACTCTGGTCTGACCAAGACCCTGGTCTGATCCTAACCCTGGCCTTCGGTTTGAGCCTGACCCTGGCTCTGACCTTGACCCTGGCTCTGGGTCTGACCCTGGCCTTGCCTGTGATCCTGACCCTGGGTCTGACCCTGACCTTGGTTTGACCCTGACCCTGGGTGTGACCCCAACACTGGCCGTGATCCTGACCCTAACCCTGACCCTCACCCTAACCCTAACTCTGACCCTGGGTATGACTCTGACTCTGGTCTGACTCTGAYCCTAACCCTGGGTGTGATCCTGACCTTGACCCCAACCCTGACCCTGGCCCTGGGTGTGGCAACTGATCCTGGGTCTGACTCTGACTCTGACCCAATTCTGACCCTGACTCTGACTCCGATCCTGACCCTCACCCTAACTCTGACTCTGGGTGTGACTCTGACCCTGAGCCTGGTCTGACCCTGAGCCTGGTCTGACTCTGACCCTAACCCTGGGTGTGATCCTGACCTTGACCCCAGCCCTGACCCTGGCCCTGGGTGTGGCACTGATCCTGGGTCTGACTCTGACCCTGACCCTGACTTCAATCCTGACTCTGACCCTCACCCTAATTCTGATCCTCACCCTCACATTCCTGGGGTCACCTTTGGTCCCTGCTGGGGGTGCAGGGAGRGGCTGAGACAGCTCAAAAAAGGGAGAGAAACCCCCTGGAAACAATGGGAATTTGTTAATTGGGCATGAATTGGGATAATTGCACCCAGGGCAGGCTCTGAACTCTCTCTGTTCAGATCAGCTGCCCTGGGCCGTGTTTTGTGGGAGATTTTGGRATGTGGATCATTAACACACACCTTTCATTCCCAGGTCCTGGGCAAGTCCTGTAAGCCCATTCCAGGTGAGAGAATTCCCATTTTTTTGTGTGTTTGGGGAATTTCTGTGCTCTGACAGAGTCATCTCTGGGCTCTGCTCGGGCTGGGCTGAGTTTGACTCCAAGGAAGGTTTTTTCTGATTTCTCTTCTCTCCAGCCACGATTTGGGAATGGCTTTTTAGGGGTTCAGTTCTTGTGAAGGGTTTTGGGGTTGGGGTGTGATTTCCCTTCTCTCCAGCCACAATTTGGGAATGACTTTATGGGGATTTCACTCCCCTGAGGTGTTTTATGGCAGTTCCTGGTATTCCCTTTCTTCCATAATGCTCTCTGGAGTTACTTTATGGGGATTTCACACTACTGGGGATGCCTTTATGGGGATTTCACTCCCCTGAAGTGTTTTAGGGACAGTTTTTGGTGTCCCCTCTCCACAGTGATGCTGCTGGGGGTCCCTTTATAGGGGATTTCACTCCTCAAAGGTGTCTCAGGGACAATTTTTGGTGTCCCCTTTCCATACTGGTGTTCCTGGGAATGTATTTATGGGGATTTCATTCCCCTGAGGTGTTTTAGGGACAATTTTTGGTGTCCCTTTTCCCTACTGGTGTTCCTGGGAATGTATTTATGGGGATTTCATTCCCCTGAGGTGTTTTAGGGCAGTTTTTGGTGTTCCCTCTCCACCGTAATGCTACTGAGAATGCTTTTATAGGGGATTTCACTCGTCAGAGGTGTCTGAGGTTATTTTTTTGTGCCTCCTCTCCGCAGTGATGCTCTCTAAAGTTACTTTATAGGGGATTTCACTCCTCAGAGGTATCTCAGGTCATTTTTTTGTGTCCCCTCTCCACAGTGATGCTGCTGGGGATGCTTTTATAGGGGATTTCACTCCTCAGAGGTGTCTCAGGTCATTTTTTTGTGTCCCYTCTCCGCAGTGATGCTGCTGGGGGTGACCCTGCTGCGCAAGAGGTACCCCCCAGCCAAGTACCTGTGCGTGCTGCTCATCGTGGCCGGGGTGGCCCTGTTCCTCTACAAACCCAAAAAGGGCGTGGGGGAAGTCGAGCACATCTTTGGCTACGGGGAGCTGCTCCTGGTGAGTGCAGAGACCCCAAAAGGGACCCCAAAGAGACCCCAAAAGGGACCCCACAGGGCTGGGCCTTGCAGGGAGTTACACCTGGGAGGGAGCCATGGGATTTACAGCTGGGGTAAAGTTGGGACACGGGGGGACACGGGACGGGAATTGCAATGGGATTTGCAGCTGGGAGAAATTCTGGGGTTTCACTTGGGATTTACTCCTCACCTGGGAGAAATTCTGGGGTTTTCAGGTGGGATTTACACTTGGGATAACCCCAGGGTCTCAGGTGTGCACCAAAGTGTGACAGGACAGGTGGGATCGATGCTGATCTCTGCTCTTCCCTCACAAACCCCATTAACAACCCCATCCACAACCCCAATTCATAACCCCGATTCACAATCCCCATTAACACCATTCAGCCCCCATTAACAACCCCCATTCACAACACAGCCCCGATTAACAAC